GCCAGTTGGACCTTCGGTGGAGCTCCTTATGGGGCCACGAAACGCTGTACTGGGTGGCTGAAAAGCAAGGAGGGGGGGAGGAGGGCCACGAAACGCTGTACTGGACGGGGGGACGCATGCGGACAGTAGACCTGGAACCTTCGGTGGAGCTCCCTATGGGGCCACGAAGCGCTGTACTGGGTGGGTGAAACGCAGGGAGGAGGGGGAGGAGGGCCACGAAACGTTGTATTGGGTGGGGGGGACGCATGCGGACGGTAGACCTGGAACCTTCGGTGGAGCTCCCTATGGGGCCCCGAAACGCTGTACTGGGCGGGTGAACCGCAAGGAGGAGGGGGAGGAGGGCCACGAAACGCTGTACTGTGTGTGGGGGGGGGAACGCATGCGGACGGTAGACCTGGATCCTTCGGTGGAGCTCCATATGGGGCCACGAAACATTGTCCTGGGCGGGTGAACCGCAAGGAGGAGGGGGAGGAGGGCCACGAAACGCTGTACTGTGTGTGTGGGGGGGGGGGGGAACGCATGCGGACGGTAGACCTGGATCCTTCGGTGGAGCTCCCTATGGGGCCACGAAACGTTGTATTGGGCGTGGGGGACGCATGTGGGCACCCCCCCTGGGCCCTTCGGTGGAGCTCCCTATGGGGCCACGAAACGCTGTGCTGGGCGTGGGGGACGCATGGCCCCCCCCCCACTGGGGCATTCGGTGGAGCTCCCTATGGGGCCACAAAACGCTGTGCTGGGCGTGGGGGACGCATGGTGCCCCCCCCACTGGGGCCTTCGGTGGAGTTCCCTATGGGGCCACGAAACGCTGCCCTGAGCGTGGGGGACGCATGCGCCCCCCCCCAATGGGGCCTTCGGTGGAGCTCCCTATGGGGCCAAGAAACGCTGTGCTGGGCGTGGGGGACGCATGCGGCCCCCCCACTGGGGCCTTCGGTGGAGCTCCCTACGGAGCCACGAAACGCTGCCCTGAGCGTGGGGGACGCATGCGCCCCCCCCCCCCCACGGGGGCCTTCGGTGGAGTTCCCTATGGTGCCACGAACGAATCAGCCATGGCGATGCCGATGATGGTGATGATGGTGATGGTGATGGTGATGGTGATGGTGATGGTGATGATGGTGATGATGATGATGATGATGATGATGATGATGATGATGATGATGATGATGATGATGATGATGATATGATGATTATGATGATGATGATGATGATGATGATGATGATGATGATGATGATGATGATGATGATGATGATGATGATGATGATGATGATGATGATGATGATGATGATGATGATGATGATGATGATGATGATGATGATGATGATGATGATGATGATGATGATGATGATGATGATGGGAGGAGGGGGTGAGCTGAGACATGCGGAGAGCAAAGGCAAGGATGGGGGAGGAGGGAGGAGGAGGAGAGGAGCAGGAAGGAGGAAGGAGGACGCGGGGCGCTGACTATTCAAAACGAGGACCCGACACTACAGGATGGTTGGGAAAAACTCGAGAACACATGTGGTCCTGGCTCGGTAAAAACATGCGCGAGAAGGGTTGTGAACGGTGGGGCGGTGTCAGGGAATAGAGGAGAGAAAGATTCAAGCTCAACATCTACAGAGGGATAAGCAGGGTGCGCTCGAGCCACAGTTGCCATCCTCACCCTCCGTCTGATCCCTTCTCATTGTGTTAAACTACATTCAACTGGCCGAGTCGGACGTCGGCTGGGGCCTTCGTCCCTGAATGGGAGTTGCTGAGCTTGGCCGGTTGTCTACTGCACAACGGGGGATGGGGCAAGATGGGGCCAGGCGGCACGCAGGGCGGTGCATCCCTCCCTCCCTCCTCCATCATTCCTCCTCCCTCCTCCTCCTCCTCCTCCTCCTCCTCCTCCTCCTCCTCCTCCTCCTCCTCCTCCATCCTCCTCCTCCTCCTCCTCCTCCTCATCCCCCTCATCATCATCCTCATTGTCAGCATCAGCATCAGCATCGGCATCAGCAGCAGCATCATTGCCACCGAATCATCACCAGCAGCACCGTCATCATCGCCACCATCAAAAACAAAATCACCATCGTGACAACATTAACATCATCAGCAGCATCATCAGCATCAGCATTATAATCAGCATCATCATCATCATCCTCAGCAGCATCTCATCACCACCATCACCTCCACCATCATCATCATCATCATCAGCAGCAGCAGCATCATCAATGTCATCATCAACAGCATCATTTCATCCAGAACAACAGCATTATCTTCGGCAGCTGCAGCAGCATCAGCATCATCATCAGCATCAGCATCATCATCATCATCAGCAGCAGCAGCATCATCAGCAGCAGCGTCATCGTCGTCATCTACAGCCGCATCCTCATCATCATCATCATCATCATCATCAGCATCATCATCACCATCATCAGCATCATCACCATCATGATCATCATCAGAATTAGCATCTTTGCCATCGGCATCAACAACAGCATATAATCAACAGCATCGTCGTCATCAGCATTATCAGCAGCAGCATCAGCATCAGCAGCAGCATCGTCACCACCACAACCATCCTCCGCCCCCTCACAAAGGATCATCATCATCAACAACATCATCATCAGCATCATCATAACCGTCATCGGCATATCCCGTCCTCCCGACGATCATCACAAATCAATGCTCAGTAGCATCATCATCAGCATCATCAGCGTATCGTGTTCATCTTCGCACCCTCATACGCATTACCACCATCAGAACCAATGTCACCACCACCATTAGCATCGCCATCACCATCAGCAAAGTCATACGCATCTTCACAACCATCAGCATAATAAACAGCGTCATAATCACCATCACCGGTTACCATAATCTTCCTCATCGCCATCTGCAGCTGCAGCATTCCCAGTTTCACCATCATCAGTATGCTGATCGTGCGCATAATCGCTACCAGTATTGCTATCATCATATCGTACCATCATCATCATCATCAGCATCATCATCGGCATCAGCATCATCATCACATCAAAATCATCATTCGCATCATCAGAACAATCATCAGGTGCATCTTCCTCATCGTCATAGTCGTCGCCGTCGCCATCTCATCATCTTCATCATCAGCATTGTCATCATCAGCAGCATCATCGTCGTCGTCCTCGTCATCATCACCATTACCACCACAGCATCATCATCATCATCAGCATCATCATCATCATCATCATCATCATCATCATCATCATCATCATCATCATCATCCGCATCATCATCAGCAGCAGCATCATCATCGTCGTCGTCGGCCTCCTCCTCGTCGCCATCGCATCATCAGCACCATCTGCATCGGTACACCAGCATCATCAGCAGCAGCAGCAACAGAATCATCATCATCATCATCATCATCAGCATCATCATCATCATCATCATCATTATCATCATCATCCCCATCATCATCGTCGGCGGCGTGGCCATCGTCATCATCATCACCACCACCACCACCAGCATCATCATAATCATCATCATCATCATCAGCATCGGCATCATCACCATCATCATCAGCATCAGCAGCAGCATCAGCATCAGTATCAGCATCAGCATCATGATGATCATCAGTATCATCATCAGCATCAGCATCAGTATCATCATCATCGTCATCCGCATCAGCATCAGCATCAGTATCATCATCAGCATCAGCATCATCATCAGCAGCATCATCATCGGCATCGCCATCGCCAACGCCAACCTCATCAACATCACCATCGTCAGCATCGTCGTAATCGTCAGCGTCGTCGTCATCGTCATCAGCATCGTCATCTTCATCGTCATCGTCACCACCATCCCCCCCATAACTTCTCCACCAATTCAGCAGGAGGATGATGAAGGAGGTGTAATAGGAGGGATACCGCCGAGAGGCCCCCAAGACGCCGCATTAGGACCCCAAGAAACTCCCAAGGGACATCCGAAGAGACTCCGGGAGATATCAAAGAGGCCTTTGGCTATTCTGCTCGCCCTCATCCTTCTCCTGCTCCTCCTCCTCCTCCTACGCCTGTTCCTCCTCCTCCCTCCTCCCCCTCCCCCTCCCCCTCCCCCTCCTTCTCCTCCTCCGATTCTTCATGTACCCTCCCCCTCTTGGGGTACGGCGGCATTCCCAGCCAGTTATTCCACTGCATGCTCCTCCACATTCCTGATCAGGGCAACTCGCCTGGGCGTCGTTTCTGGATGGGCTGATGTGGTTGCGAGAAGCGTCTAGAACATCAAATACAGAAGTCCTGCGTGAAAGAAGCAATGCGAGAAAGAGGTGAAAGCATATACGAACAGTGTCAGAGAACAAAGGAGGGTAGTTCTCAAATCAAGTAGTTGTAGAGGCGGAAGCACAAAGGCGGGAGGATGGTAAGATAGAGAGGGACACCGAGAGGGAGACAAAGGGAGAAGAGAGGAGGGGGCGTAGGGAAAGGGGGGTCAGAAGAGGAAGCAGGGGGCGGGCGTAAAAATTGCTCCGTAATAATTTGCTGGTTCGTAATTCACTGCACGACTCACGACAGCTGACAAGAATTCAAAGCGTTGAATAAATTTGTAAATTTGTCTGAAATCGACGTAATGCGAAACGCACCAACGAGATCAACGTGTGGAGACGATTCTCTCTTGCGGGCGATGATTCCGTCCCGTCGTGATTGGCTTGGCTGGATCTGGTCATGAGTTCATACCCGCGATGCTCCGCGGCTGCCCTACACGTGCCGTAAAACGATTCGAGACTGTTCGACCCATTATTCGTGGCTGACTGGTGCCGCGGCCGCTGAAAAATCAACCTCGCTCCGCTGACGTGCAGATGTCTCTGGAGGGCCTTGTTCAGGACACAGCTCGCGCGGGCGAGGGCACAACGCGCGCTGCGCGCAGTGCCAACGCAATCCGAACCACACGGCGGCACATGGGACAAAATCCACAATTACCTAGCTCGACTCACTCGAACAACAAGCCTTCCTCCTTCTCCTCCTCCCTCCCAATCGCTCGCGTCTTAGCCGGCCCGGCAGACAGTGATCAGCAGCTTCGTCTGCAGCAGAGTCTGGTACACCCCGCCGCTGAGCGAGGACATGGACAGCATCTCCAGGGTGTCCCCTCTCCCAGGTCTCGATGCCAGTTTGGGGGCAAAGAGAGGAGCACGACGACGACGACGACGACGACGAGAGGAGAACTCAAGGATTGACAGAACAACTTTTAGCAAGACGCCCTTAAGTGAAAGCGGCCAGGAGAACTGCACGCGGACCTGGACGGACGCAACTAACCGACGTCCAACAACAAGCGGATGTATCCGGCAAAACACACGTCGACTAGCGAAAACAACTGAGGACCGCACTGGCACACCCGAGTGTCAGCGTCGAGTTAACAGGTGTAGATTTCCCCAGTCGACTTGTCTGGGTGGGCATCTCTCATTGTCCGAAGAACAATGGAGGAGACTACGAGGCGCGCTCAGCCACAAAGCGTCTGCCAGTGCGCTGCTGGCCCAGCCTTCGGTCTGGCAAGTCCCCCTACAGGCGGATGTTGGACGAAAAAATGGAAGAATACTTCAAATATTCAACTAATACCCAAAAATAGCCCCCTGACGATTATTTGACTGTTTGGGAATATTCCTCCTGTAGAGTGACAGGCCCGACCTTAATGCTGGCCCAGCCCTGGACCGTCGGGGAGGGGGTGCAACACCCCGACTGGGAAGGAGAGAGGATCGGACTGCGCTTCAGCTGAAGGGTTGCCCCACTGCTAGCTTCAGGTCGGGCATGTCCCCCCACAGGCGGATTTTGGACGAACAATGAAAAATACTCCACAACAAAATCGTCCCCTGACTTTTCTTGACGATTTCTGAATATTCCTCCTGTGGAGGGACACGCCCGACTGAATGCTAGCTGGCTCGAAAGAGCCACAGCTGGTGCCCCTGCTGGGAAGGCCCTCTGTTCCCCAAGGAGTGCAACAGACTGGGGGAGGAGAGAGAGAGAGAGGAGTGAGGGGGAGGAGGGAGGAGGAAGGCGAGGCAGCGAGGAAGGGCGAGCGCCTCCCCCCCGGCGACACCCGAGTCGCACCGCCTCCCCATCACAGCGGCCGCACCCCAGCAACAGGCAGCAGCGGCCCGCTTCTCTTCGTCCCCGCTCCGCCGCGCGCACTCCTTCCACGAAGGCCCGCATCCCTCGGGGCCTCGGCCGCCCCGACTCGGCACACCTGCCGCGTCGAGAGGCGCCCGCAGAGGGCCGCGAGGCCGCCGCGGGGCGGGCCTGGGCAGGCGCGGACGACGTCCGGCAGGCTGGCCCGGGCCAACTTCAGAACTCGTCGGCTGCACAGCCTCGTGGCGAAGTCTCCTGCATCCTGCATCCGATGCTCGCCTGCATCCGATGCTTGGGCCTCGCTTCATGGGGGGGCGACACATGGGGGGAAAAAAGGTGCACTTTCGGGCCTGGGCCCCAAAGGCCTCTTGAGGGGCCCTACAGGGCCCCTTGAGGGGCCCTACAGGGCCGCCCCCCTTTGCTGCAGCCCTCGCCGCCCCCGCATTTATCGTCCCCCCATTACGCGACGCCCAAGATGCCGTCCTCGGTCACCTCACCTGGAGGCACTATGTAACAGCCCGCCTGCGCGCGGGAGCAGCGCCGCCCCTTGCGGGAAGCAATCGTACACGGCACAATGCCGGCCCCGGCCTCTGACACAGCACGACCCGATGAGTTTTGACCGATCCACCCTACCGAGTGGGCATCGTTGAACCGATCCCTATCCCCACTCGCGTTGCCTGGGCCCCCCTGGCCGGTTTACCCCCCTAGATGGGGATATAGGCAGTTTCCGTCAGATTGCGAAGGGTATATCCCCAACTGTCGGAATGAGATGGTGGGGGTCTGGATGGGGATTGGGATGGCAGTGGAGGTCGGTTAAACGATACTGACCGAGGGCACCCAAAAAGACCTCGACCCTCGACCCCATCTCTCGCATGGATTCCGTGCCGCGAGCGGCCCACAGGGCGGAATCCATGCCTCAGGCCCCGGGGTCCACGGAGAAGAGCCCCGGGTGGGCCCTCCTCCGCGGGCCCCGGAGCCCAAGGCAGGCCCCGAGAGGGCCCCCAACCTAGAGGCGAGCAGAGACGTATTAATACTGTATGTCCTCCTTGGAGGCGCGCGTCCGACCCCGAACATACAGTATATCCATCTTGTATTATTTCGTTTCCCGAGCGGTGTGGCCAGAAGAAAGCGCCCACACGACGCAGATACTATAAGATTTCTCGGTGAGCGCGTCGCCGCTGCGGGGGCGACGCACATATAGTAAATATGTTTGGGTGATGCCGATGTCGCGTGAGCTGGGGGGCACACACAACCCGTATAACACAGACGCACGATAAGGATGCAAGGGCCTCGGAAGGCCATGTCGACACTTTGCGAGCGGGGCGTGATCAGCGAAAGAGGCCAAAAGGATGGGCCGACAGGGAAGGATGCAAGGGTAACCCTGGAAAGTCGCGCATCCTTACTATGCGGGCTGACTGCACCCTGAGATTCGACGTTGCAAAAAGCTGCAGCATCGGGACAAATCGCGACCGGCGCCCTGGGCCCCGTCTGTCTGCAGCACGCTTCGAGCCAAATCCCAAATCGATATGTGATGGTCCCGGGGCCCGGAACCGGGCGAACGCACCCGGGGTGAACAAACTGCAACGCCTGGATCTCAGGGCAACTCTCATCCCGAGAGCTCTCGTCCCGAGCTGCACGCCCTTCTTTTGTGTTGCATCTTCGGGGGACATCGTGTGTCCCGTCGCGCCGCGATCCGCGTCGAATCCGTGCCGAGCGCGACGAATCCGTGTCGAATACACGTCGAATACATTTCGAATCCGCGTCGAACCCACGTCGGACCAAAAGAGAAGACTGCGATCTACCAAACAGGACAGGTCCCCCGAAAATGCAGAGTGACGTCCCGGCCAAGACCGCGCGGCTCGCTGGACGCTCTCTCCCGTCCTTGCGGGCGGGTGGAGGAAGAGGAGGAGGAGGAGGAGGAGGAGGAGGAGGAGGAGGAGGAGGAGGGAGGAGGAGCTCCAGGATGGCAGGATTGGCCAGCAGCGATGGGCCACGGCCACGTCGCGGCGCGGATGGCCCGCCGGCGCGCCTGGCGGCAGGAGTGACGCGGAGCATGACGAACCCAATATGATGGGCCTGTTTTCCACCACCACCACCACCACCATAAGTTGGAGGGGGGAAGGAGGAGGAGGAAGAGGAGGAGGAGGAAGAGGAGGAGGAGGGGGAGGAGGACCCTCTCCCCCTCCAACTTCTGGTGGTGGTGGTGGAAAACAGGCCCATCACAATCCCTGACTGTGGGGGGGGTTCCTTAGACTGGACCGGAAACTGCGGGCCCTACTCTGGGATGTACGACAGTAGAGGCGTCCATCCTCCATAGGGGTGCGTCAGAAGAGGCCCCTGCAAGTACATCCCCGACTTCCCACGCTTTTCTGGGCGACCTGGTTTTACGGGGACAACCCTGGGATTGGGGGCGAAAAACCGCCTGTGAAGGACGGCTGACCTGACCCCTCCAGCTTTGAACGCCGAATGCCCAGATTCCCAGCCCACCCCCCTCCTCATCCGTGCAAAAGGCTACTGCGCGAGCTTACTGACCAGCATGCAGCAAGGAGGGGTACAATCGTGAGCAGAAAGGCAGCACGGGGGAGGGAGGCCGCAGAGAGAGGGAGTACGGAGGAGGACCAGGGCCTGGTGCCGCTGCCGTGCCGAGCGCCCCACCCCCCCCTCCGAGCGCGTACACAGCGCCAATCATCCCGAAGACGGCCAGGCACTTCGGCTGCCAGCACTCCCGGACGCCTCCCCCGCAGAGCCCGCGGGGAGAGCGGGGAGAGGGCAGGAGCCAGGGGAGGGGATGAAGACGACCGGGAAAGGGGGCGATGAGGGATCGGAGGGACGGGCGAAGGGCAATGGAGAGAGATCGGGAGAGAGATGTGCGACTGACCCGGGTGAGCGACGAAAAGAAATGGGTCTCATACAAGATGACGTAGCGACCTTACGCGGTGGCCGTGCGGTGTCGTGCTGTGTCCGTGCCGGTGTGCGAGCCTTGTCGTACTGTGCGGTGTCGTGTCGTGCTGTGCCCTGGCACATGCTGGTCAGGGCCTTCAGGCGGGGTGTACCTATTTTCTCGGCTCCAAGAAGCCCGCGAGGGCCTCCAGAATGACCCAAGAGGCCTCAAGATGGCACCGAGACGGCTCGGGACGACACCAAGAGAGCCCAGGAAAAGTCGAAGACAGCTCAAGAGCGCGCTCGAGGAGACCCCAGAGATGGACTTTGAGGGTCCCAAGGGAGCCCTAACACGGCCCAAAAGGGAGGCCGCTCGGAGGGCCAAAAGAGGCCCCTCGATCAGCCCACGCGGCCGCAAAAAGGCGCCTGGATGGTCCAGCTGAGGCTTCGCGGTGGCTCTTGGCGTCGCCCAGGAAAGGCTGGCGCGAGCGGGACGGCCGTTTGAAGAAGGCGGCACGGCGTCTAAGAAGGCAGACAGCTTCTTAGAAGCCCTCCAGGCGTCGAAGAAGCCTTGTCAGAAGCACCCAGGCGCTTCTGAGAAGCCCACCGCATTCTTAGAAGACCGCCCCCCTCGCGCCACCCCGTTGTGCGCGCCGCCGAGCCTCCTCGGAGGCGTCTTCGGTCTGCCGCCCCACGTGGCTCGTCACCGTGTGGTTCAGCGTGCCAGTGCGGATATCCGCCTACCCCTCCACAAGCCCTGGGCCGCCACACGCCCGCCACACGCCCGAGCACCCGCTGCACAAAACCACTGCGCGCCAGCGTGTGGCCAACGCGCCAGCGTGTGGCCAACAGTGCTCGCACTGCCGCCCCTTAGGGCGCCACGCGGCTCCGACTTGCTGCAGGATGGCCTCCAGATGAGGCCCCAAGATGGCCCAAGGATTCCCAGGAGCGCCATGAGAGGTCGCCAAAAGAGAGCCCAAGGAGGCCCCGAGGCGGCCCTAGATGCTCAAGAGACCCCAAGACGCCCCCGAAATGGCCAGCGACTCCGTCAAGACAGCCCCAGGAACCCGCTAATGTGACCTCGGAAGCTCCAAGGACAGCCCGATGTGTTCCCCAAGCTGTTCCTGCAACGGCTGGGTAAACGAGGCCCCGAAACAATCGGTTTTCAACAACGTCGCCTTGGCCCAATAGAGCTTTAAGGGGCCCCCGGGAGGCAACCCAAAAGCATCCAATTGCCAAGATCCTTCCTCTGCATCTTCCTCCGTGAGGCCTCAAACAATGCCAACGCTTCTTCCCAAGGTAAACTTGAGGCGTCTCAAGGCGGGTGTAAAACGTCTTCCACGTGCAAACGGATCCCCAAAAATCAGCCCAGTGATTCCCCAGCTGCTTCCACACAGGGGGGCTGCGCACCTGTCAATAGCTCGGCACACCGTGTGGCTGTAGCCTACAGCGGCAGCAGCCATCGTAATAGGAGGAGCATTAACAGAAACGGGAGGATCGTAGAGGAAACGAGAACTGCAATAACAGATTAACGTGGACCCAAAACTACGTAGCGCACTCTACTATGGAGCAGATCATAGAATGCACTGCGTACTACGCAGTACATTCTATGCGGTGCAAGCTATGTGGTGCAATATATGTAGTGCAACGTCACTGGTGCAATCCACCGGGTGCAATATATGTGAAACATTATGTCCGGTGCATGATATCCGGTGCAAAATACGTGGTGCAAATATGTGGTGAAAATATGTGGTGCAACATGTGCGGTGCAATCGACGTGGTGCAATTTAAGTGGTGCACGATATGCAGTTCAACATATACACATATGTATGCATGCATGAATGTATGTATGGTTGAATGCATGAATGAAAACATGTGTGAACCTATATATATATATATACACAAACATATAGTTGTACATATGGTGCGATCTATGTGGTGCATTATATTCGGTGCAATTGATTTGAACAAACGAGTTGACACATCCCACGCTCTTGCAAACATCCCACCCACCCACCCGCAACTTGGCTTGCAAAACCCATGTGGTGACGATTGCGATGACTGTTTGGAGTTAGCTGGTCCATCTCTGCGGCCGCGCCAACCCAAGCGCGCGCGCAGCGGCCAGCTAGTTTGGCGCGACCGACGCGGCCGCGGTGGCGCTGACTGCTGGGCACATCCCAGCTGGGCGACGACACCGACGACGTCTCCAACGACTTCGACGCCGACACCGACGACGACGACGACGACGACGACGACGACGACACCGACGACGACGACGACGCCGACACCGACGACGACGACGACGATGACAACGACGACGACGATGATGACGCCGACGACGCCGACTTCGACGACGACGACGACGACGTAAACGACGCCGACGACGACGACGACGACGACGACGACGACGGCGGCGGCGACGACGACGCCGACGTCGACGACGACGATGACGACGACGACGCCGACGCCGACGCCGACGACGAAGACGACGACGACGACGTCGCCAACGAAGACGACGACGAGGGAGGAGGGAGGACGACGACGGCGACAACGCCGACAACGACGACAACGACGAGGGAGAAGGGAGGATGGCGACGACGCGAACGACGAAGAAGGAGGAAGGACAGCGACGCCGACGACGACAACGACGAGGGAGGAGGCAAGATGACGACGACGACGACGACGACGACGACGACGACGACGACGACGGCGACGAAATAGGAGGGACGACGACGAGACGCAGACGACGGACGACGACGACGACGAGGGAGGAGGAGGAAGGACGACCACGGCGACAACGACGACGGAAACGACCACGACGCCAAAGAAGACGACGACGAAGACGAGGAAAGACAGAGGACGACGTAGGCGACGACGACGACGACAACACGGGATGCAGGAGGACGGCGACGACGACGACGACGACGACGACGACGACGACGACGACGACACGACGCAAGAGCGCGCGCGCACGCTTTTGTTGAAAATCCGTGTTGCGAAGCCTTGCGTTCTTGTGGGATTTGTGTTGGACACACGATTTTGAAATCCTTCCGAAACCGATGGGTTTTGAAGGATTTCGGCATACGCGCCCGACGACGCGCGCGTCTGCACTTCGTCCCACTTGTTGCAAAGGATTCTCGCGACGGCACACGCGCCAGGGCGTTCGACTGATTTCGACATGCGCGCGCGAAGCCCGTTTGGTAGCATTTTGTGAAAATCTTAAAAAAACGCTGGTTGTCTCAAGATTTCGCAAGAACTCGCGCGTAAGCTTTTAAGCAAATCAATGTTGCGAAACTATGTGTTGTATGTTTTTTTGGAAACTCGATTGCGAAATCCTTCCGGCACCAAACGTTTTTGAAGGATTTCGGTATGCGCGCGCGACGACGCGCGCGTGCGCACTTCGTCCCATTTGTTGCAAGGGATTTGCGAGAAAAAACAGATGCTAGAACAACAGATGTCCCCGCGTATCGTTTGTTACAAACCTCAGGGGGACCGGTCCCGGCCCCTCCAGGATAGTGTAAATTCAGATTGAGGATGGACATCTGGTCAGAATCATATATGATTTACATACCCGAAAGGGGGGCGGATAACGCCGGGGGGGTAGATCCTATTCTGTTTTCTTGGAAAGGAGAATATACGCGGTGCAATCTAGGTAATGCAATGTACCTTGTCGAACTTAAAGTTGTTCACTCCACTGCTCGCGCAATCATCCCACCCACCCGCAAATTGGTTCGCAAAACCCATGCGGAAGCGATTGCGATGAGTGTTGGGTTTTAGCTGGTGCATCTCTGCGGCCGCGCTACAACGCGCATGCTCACGCGCGCAGCGGCCAGTTAGTTTGGCGCGACCGACGCGGCCGCGGTGGTGCTGACCTCTCGGCACATTCCAGCGGGCATTTCAGTGCGGGTCGGCGACTTGGGCGGGCGCGGTATCATGGCAACGTCGACAACGGTAGACACGATGATGATAGCAACGATGCTGGTTGCGATGCTGGCAACGACGACGGGGCAGCCAGTGACGGCGCCGATGCTGATCACGCCGACGACGATGACGGACTTCGCGTCGGTGATGAAGGTTTTGGAAAGAGTTCGACATGCGCGCGCGGCAGGCGCGCGAAAGTGGCCCGTATGGCGTTATTGGACACGGATCGTGCCATCCTAGCACGCGCGCGAGGGCGTTCGAACGATTTCGACATTTCGACATGCGCAAAGCCCGTTTGGTAGCACGTACTGAAAAAATTGGAAAACCCATTGTTTTCTAAAGAATTCGCGACAGCGCGCGCAAGTTTTTTGTTGAAAATCGTGATGCGAACCCCTGTGTTTCATATGTTGTTTGAACACTCGATTTTGAAAACCGCACGAAACTGAAGGTGTTCAAAAGATTGCGGAATGCGCGCGCGACGACGCGCGCGTGCACTTCGTCACATTTTTGTAAAGGATTCGGAACTGATGGTTTGTGACAAACGAGTGTGCGCGCAGAGCATGTGTTGCAGAGGGTGGTGGGGAGGGGCGGATACCGGCGTGGATCGGATGGTACGAGTTCAGATTTAGGATGTACGATGGGGCAAAACCAGATGCAAATTGCAAGACGAAAAGGAAAATCCATAATCCTGGGGGGGTAGAGTCGGTTCTCTTTTCAGAAGAAAAGAAAATCTGTTCAATGCAATGTACATGGTGTAAGATATGCGGCAGCGGCGACGGCCGGCGACGGCGACAACAAGCGCGGCGACCGCCAGGCAGGCCCAGAAACAGCGGCGACGGGCGGCGACGACGCCACAAGCGCGTCAGACCTCCAGCCAGGCCCAGACGACGGGCGGCGACGAGGCGGCGACGGTGCGGCGAAGGCGACAACATAGCTGCCAGACCGCTAACTAGGCGCCGTTCCCTAAAACAAGAGTAGACCCCTTAAGTGCAAGCACTGCTTGAGAAACATGTTGTTGGAGGTCCGCGCGGATTGCTTGGACCCCTGGCGCGCGGGGCGCGCAAGGGTTGGCGCCAGAGGCGCCGAGAAGGATTTTCCAGCGCAAAAGATCCGCGTTGAGCTCACGAAAGTTCATGTTTATGCAATTGGAAATAGGAGGAGGGAGGAGTAGGACCAGGCGGAAGAGGAGGAATAGGCGAGCAGAATGGCCAGAGGCCTCTTGGATGCCTCTCGGAGTCTATTCAGATGTCTCTTGAGCGCCTCTTGGAGTCCTCCTGCGGCGTCTTGGGGGCCTCCTGCCGGTCCTGGGGGGTGTCTTCTTCGAAGGAGGAGGAGGCTGGAGGGCGCGGGCGGGGACGGGAGGCGAAGACCGGCCGCCGCGCCCGCGGTGGGCCCACCGGCCACGCCGTCGCCCCAGAACGCCGCCAGGTTCATCAAGATGATCGTCAAGAACCTGACGGGGGGGCACGTCGAGGCGGACAGCGGAGGCGAGGGAGGCCCTGGACCAACGGAGAGGAGCGCAGGCCGAGGATGCAGCTCCTCCGAGGTCTCTTCGGGAAAAGGGGCTGGCTTTCGGTCGGGCATGTCCCCCTACAGGCGGATTTGGGACGAAAGGTGTGAAAATTCGTCCCCTGACTATTTTCATATTCCTCCTGTAGAGAGGGACAAACGCCCAACTTAAGGATAGCCCCGTTTAAGGAGCCATTGAGCTGGATTGGCCCAGGGTAGGCCAGGAATCAAACCGGATGCGGGGGACCATGCTGGATCAGGCTGGCTTCTGACCACGGATATACAACTGGCGATGCTGAACTGAATCTCCCAGGAATGTACCCTTAACAGGGGGAAGAGGAGGGAGGCGGACATATCAAAACGTGGTCGAGAGGCCCTCCGTCAGGTCGCCTCCTCCACCGCGAAGGGCGAGTTTTTCACGATTCGGAATTGCCTGCTCCTGCTCCTGCTCCTGCCACACGTTGTCCCTGTTCTCCTCATCCTCATCATGCCTATCCTCCTCATGGCGCCCTCCACTCTGCTCCTCCTCCTCCTCCTCCTCCTGCTCCTCCTCCTCCTCCTTCCTCTTGCGCCTCCTCCTCCTCCTGCTCCTCCTCCTCTTCCTTCTCCTCCTCCTTCTCCTCTGAACATACCTCAGTCAGACACGCTCATCATAGCAAAGCGATGTCCTCCTCGCTGTTTTTTCCCCGATATCCGCGTATTCCCTCCACGGTGCCCCGTGCCGCCACATACAACACCGACAAGGAACATGCAAACAATAGACGCGCAAAACGGACAGGCAAGTCAAACAAGGCATGGCGACAGCAAAGCAACTGGAACTTGTTCATGAATACGGGCGCATTTTTGGCGTAGAGGATCTTGCCGCCCTGCGCAGTCGCTCACCCCTTCGCCCAAGCCTCCACCTCTGGCTTTTCCTGCTCCTCCTGCTCCTCCTGCTCCTCCTCCATCTACTCTTCCTCTTCCTCCTCCTCCTGCTCCTGCTCCAGCTCCAGCTCCTGCTCCTCCTCCTCCTACTTCTCCCTTCTCCTCCTCCTCCTCCTCCTCCTCCTCCTCCTCCTCTGCTTATCCTTCTTCTTATTCTTCTTAGTATGAATATATGCGTATGCTTCGTCTTGTATTATCATCATTCGCATTCGAATGCGTATTATGAGTATTGGTATTATTAGTAGTATGACTACCATTATGATCATTACCCTTGTTATTGATATTACCAATGTACTAGACATTAGTATTATGAATAGTGTTCACCTCAGTATTATCCTTATTATTCCACCTCCTCCTCCTCCTGATCCTCCTCCTCCTGCTCCTGATCATCCGCCTCCTCTTCATCGTCCTCTTCCTCTGATGCTAAGTCACAGTATGAGTATTCATAGTGTTTCTTAGTTTGTGTATGCGCAGTCTTCGTATGGTTGTTATGATTACTCTTATTGTATGAGCATTCGTAGTAGCTTTCGTCTTAGTATGCGTTGTATGAATAATAGTCTTACTCGTAGTATTGGTACATTCGTCTGATTCGTCGTCCTCGTATTCTTCATGTTATTCGTATTGTCCTTGGTCGCATTCGTACTATTATTAGTGTTAGTGTTATTGGTTAGTCTGTTCGAAATATAGATTATGCGTCTTCGTCTTCGCATTAGTGGTGTGATCCTTCTTCGTAGTATTAGTAGTAGTTGTATTAATGAAATCATTAATCTTCCTGTTGGTATTCGTATTGTTAGTCGCATTCGTAATATTATCGTTCTTAGCCTTACTAGTATTCTCATTCGTCATATTACTATTGGTAGTATTACGCATATCATTAATATCATCCTCCTCTTCCTCCTCCTCCTCCTCCTCCTCCTCCTCCCCCTCCCCCTACCCCTACCCCCTCCTCCCCCCCTTCTCCTCCTCAACATCCTCATCCTCATCCTCTTCTCCCTCATGCTCCTCGTTCCCCTCTGCATCCTCCTCCTCGTCGTCTTGTTATCAGTAGTTTCTTACTCGTATGATTGCTCTTCTTAGCATCATCATTGTCAGTATTAGTATCAGTATGCTTCGTGCTTGCATTCGTATTAGTATTAGTCTCATTAGTAGTAGTAGTACTGCTCGTCGTCATATGTGTCTTAGTAGTTTGATTGGTACGTTTATGTGTACTCGTGTGTCCCCGTATGATTCGCAATAGTAATAATACCATGTTCATGTGTACTCTTATGAATAGTGGTCGTTTTCGCATTCGCCTCTGTATTCGTATCAGTAGTATGATTTTTCCTTATCATGACTACTAGTACCAGTATCCACCTTCGTTGTATGGTGCCAGTTTTTGTTATTATTTTAAGATCCGTAGTATGATGATGTGTTATTATTCGCCATGGCAGTAGTACTCTTCTTATTACTAGTATTATTAGTATTAGTCGTCTTCGTTTTCTGCTTATTCTTACTAATAGTGTTCCTCCTCCCCCTCTTCCACCTCCTCCTCCTCCTCATCCTCCTTTCCTTTTCCGTAGAAGAACTCCTCCCTGTCGCACCCCGAAGACGGTCGGAAGGACGGGCCGACCGTTTCGCCCGAAAGTTCCTCACCATTTATGACCACGAAGCTTCAAAATCGGCAAAAGCTTCACGGAGTGAGGCTGAACGGTTTTCAAAGTGTGGCTCTCGACTTAGCACCGCGGACATTCGTTTTGACAATCTCCAATAGTTTCACAAATTGAAGGCGCGCGGTTTTCAAAATGTGGCACTCGCCGTAGCGCCGCGCATACTCGTCTTGAAAAAACAAAGGGCTTCAAGGATTGAGAGCGGTTCCTTTTCAAAACGTTGATCTCACCTTAGCGCCGCGCACTTTCGTTTTAGAGATCTGCCAGAGCTTCACGGGTTCCCATGATCAATGTATCAGAATTTGCGTCCTGTGATGATTCAGGATTGGCAGGGCGAACAGCTAC